ATTTTTCTTGCTCGAAGAAGAAGAAGAAGAAGCAAAAAAGCCTCTGAATAAGTCTTGAAGTTCAGAGGATCGAGAGGGAGATTTCACAGATGATGAGCGAAAGAGAGAGAGAGAGAGAGGGTTATTTTGAGAAAAAATTTGTTGCCCGGTGAAGATGAGAGAGAGAGGTTTTGTTATGGATGAAAGATGAGAGCAAGAGAAAAAGAAAATTTTTGTTAGCTCTCTCAACTGAAAATGTCACTAATTTTGTAACCCCTCTTTAATATCAAGATTGCTTTATAGTAGGGATTACTAGTGAACCTGACACGTGTTCTCACTTCACTCTCCAAGTTTTTTTTATGAAGAGAGAAATAGCGAGTGAGGTCATGGTCAGTTGACTAGTGGTCATGGTGTTATGTTGTTGTTTTATCCAGTGGATGGGAGGGTACAATAATTTATTGTGTATCTCCTTTTAAACTTAATTAACAAGTTTCATGTAGTTATTTGAAACCAACCCTTACCATCATGCATGCACAACCAGTTTGTGTATGGCCAAATGAGGCAATAACCTACTGCCTGTTATAATACTATAACTATATGATGTCAAGAACACAAATCCACGCTTTGTAAGGCAAAATCTGATTACAGGTTGAGTCGACAATCCATGGCCATGCAGTTCGCTTTGCGAGCTCGTATCTTGAACCACAAATCTCCTCATGATGAGATCTTGGTGTCAACTAAAAGATTGAAGATTGTAAAGCCACTTTCATGTTGATCTCGAGCTGAGAAAGTAGATGGAACAATATCAAAACTAGTCTTGAAATCATGATACCAAACTGATAATGACATCAAAAATTTCACTAAGTTAAAATGTCGACTTAACAACTTCATGTGCATCACTTCAAGACTTTATAACTCCTTCCATAGTGCACCAAAGTGAGTAACCTTGGTACCATGGGAAAGAACATTTGTGATAGAGAAAACTTGTAGTTTAAATTAAATTGAAGGGACAGTTGGATCATCAATAAAATTCTCCTCAAAGTCACATACTTGGTCATTTTGTAATGTTTCAGAATTTTCTCTATGTATTCAAGATTTCAAACTTGACAAACTCACGACTTCTCCCATCTATATCTTTTGATTTGAGCATGCTATTGAATCACTTCCATTTGCGAAATTGTAGACAAAAGTGTGATGTACAATTTTGTAGTTGAGCTCAACTTAAAACAAAACCTTGATTCATGAGTATTTTGAACTTGAAGATTGTCACTTGGTTATGTTAAAGTTGATCAGAATTTTCACTAAGTGCTAAAGCTGAAATCTGAATGGATTAACAACTTCTCTCTCAAATATCTCACAATCCATAGAATTTTTGAAGATAGATCCTCAAGGACACAATTGAAGTATGAAGTATTCTCTTTCCAATGATCCTGAGTTTGCCAATTTTAGTACACACATGAGTGAGATATAAGGCTGCAAAGATGGCTTATGAACATAAAAGTTCTTAAAACTTAGAAAAAAAATCTAAGTATCAAGATTACTTAATTTGCAAGAAATCTCATATTTGACCAATTCTTTTGACTTTTCCCAACAAATGGTTATATTTTCTCATATCTTAACTTTTGATGAGGATTTTGACCAAAAATTCCATTTGGTTAACCGTTGACTTTTTGTTGACTTTTACTTGTATACACTCAAGTCTTCTCTCATTCAATCATTCTTGACCATCTAATAAAATTTGAAGATCATTAGACCATATCTAGGTGCTTTAAGACCAATAGAAGACCACGAAATCATCTTAGGCTTGGAAAGTCAGTAACATCACCTCCTTGTCCAAAACTCTAATTTATATAAAAAAGATAGGAAATGGTGACCGAGGTATAAAAACCCTAATTCCATTGAGATGGCCTAAAAACCTCTTGAACACATATACCTTGTGATTTGAGATGATGTTTGTGCAAAAGATATTCAGATGTTCAACCCTTGTGGATCACCTCTCTTCTTTTGAATGGTATATACTTATCCAAATAAAACCCCTGATCTCATATTGTTGAATTAATGCAATGTAAATGATGTACATGAGGATTAAGCACAAGCTATTTAGGTTTATAAATAAGAGGGAAAATTTTGGGGTACAACAATTATACTGTTATGTCTCATACTTGCCCTATTTTAAATCAAACGCACACATAGATTCTATTATAGGCATGCTGAAGGTCGAAAAGAAGTGAGACTGAATTGCATGAGTGTCCAACCCAAAAGTTTCTTCACGAAGCAAATAACAATCGAGTAAAATTGCACTAAAGGATCGAAAGGCATATCATTCTCACGTATATCCATGATCAAATCCTTCTTATTCCAAAGTTATGCATCAGCTTCAACGATCTTACATGAAGAATGATGATTATGTTTGATCCAGTTGGTAGAATCACCTCGAGTTTATCAACCATGAAACCTTCCTCACACCTTGTCGTATATCTTATCAATGGTGCATCGTCTTGTAGGGAAAAGTAAACGAAAATGTATGACAATAGGATTTTCAACTTCTATAGTGGTGAGTAAGAGGTAGGAAGAAGATAAATGTATCATAGGATTCTGAGACTTCGAAAATGTGGGCATTATTCCCAAAACAACACTACCATTGATCGTATGTGACGATATCGTGAACCATTTAGTGTTAGGGGTCCTCATTAACGATTTAATTTCTTGCGATGTCATATATATGAATATCTTTAGAAAGCCAGGGTTATGTGATCGAGACCTCATAACATCTGTACTATCCAAAAAAATAGTACATATGCGTGCGTGTTCCCCCTACAAGGGCAGAGAGACTCAGAGGCCCTAGTAGGTATATTACACTAGTGGGATGAGGGATAACTCACGACGGATAATAGCCTTGTACGGTGGTTTATTAGGCTATTTAAAGGTCCAAATCACGTGAGGTGAGATACCCGACTGTTGATCGGTGCTGCTAGGTCGCATGCAGACAGATGGAATGATGTTGATAGGGTTGCTCGGAGCGAAGTGCTCTCAGACTGAGGTTTGGAGGTTTCTCAATAAGTTTTATTTGAGAGTCGTCCCTTATCCCCTTGAGGGATGGTGTATTTGTAGGAATTCCTTACTCCTAGGGCTTTCTTGAAAAAAGTTGCGTCAACTCAGTCAAAAGGTAGACAGTTGAATTCTTATAACCAAGGGATACATGGGTTAGTAACTATCTTGACTTTCCCATTATCCAAGACACATCTTATCCCATGTTTTTTCTCCCAGGGGGAGAGGAAAACGCATGGGTGAGGTGATACCTCCCTTTAGGCGACCTCGCATCCTCGACCATTCCTAGGGTGGTCCAAGATGTCGCCATAGACAAGGTTATTTACAAATATAGCATTACACCATCCAAAGGCATAAATATATTAGTGTTCAACGACTCCATCACTCGCCCCTTTAGAGCCATAAAATTACCATTATCTATCGGGGAAGGGAAGCATGAAAGGACCATGAATGTATATTTCTTGGTGATTCATTATATGATTGTCTATAATTGTATCTTAGGGAGATCTTTCATCGCAACGTTAGATGTGATTGATTTTACTATCCACCTGAAGATGAAGTTTCACAAAGAATTCGGTGAACCAATTGTCATTCCTGATAATCTGCGTAGAGCTCGCCTGATACATGAAACAACACTAAAGAAGCCTCGTCTGACCACACTTATCTCCGAGTAGAAGAGAAAGAAGACACATGTGTTGGCCATCACCACCATCGACCTTGATGTGCGAGAAAAAGAAGTCCTACTAGATGAAAAACTTAACTCACCATTAAAATCTAAAGAAAAATCCCAAAGACCTACTCTAGATTGAAAATTTAAAGGTGTGCTACACGATGAGAATCAAACAAGATCAATATGTGTTTGAGCTGATATGTGGGCCACATTAAAGGAAGGAATCGTTGAATGCCTTAGAGGCAACATTGATCTTTTCATAATCTCTTTTCATAAGTTTTTCTACCAATATCAACATCCATATTCACAATATTGCAACTAACAAGAGGGGTCACATATGTGTTATCTTATTGCACATCTAAGCGAAAGTCATTTTCATAAAATCTCACATCTCTAGAAATAAAGTATTCTCTTGATTCTAAATCATAAAACTCTCCCACTCCTTTTTTTTGCTTAAAAGTATCCCACAATAATACACTTTTACTTCTACTTGCAAACTTATCTCCCACCACCTCTTTGATTATGAGTGCAACATAAAGGAAAAAAATTTAAATATTTTCAAAATTTGGGACATTTTCAAATAAATTTCACAAGGTGTAGTATAATTATAAACACAATAGATGATGTTCAATTAATTAGATAACAAGCTACCAACACCCATTCTGCCAAAAATTATACTGGTAAATGACCCTAAAATCTAACTGCTTGTGCGACATTTATGATATGTTATTGTTTTTGTTTTACTCTACCATTTTGTTGAACTTTATCAATACATGAAGTCTCAAATACAATACCTATTTTAAAAACCAATCACGTAGGCAATTAAACTCAGTGTTGTTGGCACTTTGTAGCTTCTTTATTTTCTTATCAAATTATCAAATTAACGCATACACGAGGGTTGTGAGAACTCCTGTCACACCCACCAAAATGACCATTTCTTCGTCCTTGCATTGCTCCTCCACGAACAGGACCACGTCCACCCCACAACTATTCCCACACCATTTAGAGATCCTATGAAGTTGAAGCATGAACTCTCGTTGTGCCCTTCTTTATTGCACTAATTACAAAATTTGTCAAAATTTTCAACATATTTAGATTTATCTCTTGCACTAGGTGTGACTCGAAAGGAAACTATTTTATCATTATTCTCAAGGTCGCAATGGAACAACCTTCCGTTGAACCAAAGCTACCCCTTCATAATTCACAATCCAAGTATCATACATAATGCACAACCCAAATACGATATATAACTTTCTCAAAAAACCAAATGAAACTCAAACATGCATACATAATCAACAACTAATTAACCATGGTGAGTTGAAGAAAACTCATCTATGCGACGGTGACAATAGGCAATCATTTTATCCTTTGGTGGCAAGTTGTCTTTAATGGTAGGATGATTCAGAAAATTGATCTTCCATGAAGACATGGATGGACATTTTAATGGGTCAAGTACCTGCATTGACCCAATTTCCTCCCAAACTGGAAGCCAACAAGTGATCCATCCAAGAGCAAGATCAAGGTACCCAATATTGTTCCCTCCAAAGAATTTCTTTCCATTTAACTCCTCTTCTAACTTTTCCATTACTTCTTTTGCTTCCAATAGAAGCTTTTCCCCTTCTTCTCCATTCCTAACCATTGCTCTCCATGAACCCAACGCAAGCTAGAATATACACACACAAAATAGGCTTTTGAAATAGATGACAAATTTATAATTTATAATATTCAAATTTAGTACAATAAAATATTTCCCGAAAAAAATTGATTCTAATTTTTGAAAGATTTTTTAGGTTAGAACAATATATAATTTAAATAAACATCTGAAAATATCTTTTTTTCATAACATTAAATATTTATATTTATGGAAGACATCAATGAATTAACATGAAGTTGTTGAAATGGAGAAAGGCTTTAGGAATTTTACGTGACAAAAATGTATTGCGGAAAATTTTATCAAATTACGATAAGACTTGTGATGTTATATGAAACAAAATATTTGGCGCGTAATCAACACGAGAATAAAATAAAGTGTAAGAGATTAAAATGTTACGTTGAATGAGTGATAAAACTAGACAAGTTAAGATTAAAAGTAAAAATATTAGAGAAAGTGTTGAAATATCACCTATAATATTTTTTTTTTAAGTGAAAAATAAACTTCAATGTTTAGGACATATAGAAAGAAGACCTATATATTATGTGATAAGTAAATTAAATCTTATATAAAGAAGTTAAATAATTAGAAAAAAATAAATATCTAAAAATATTATAAAAAAATTATTAAAAATTACTTTGAAATTAATAATTTAAATGAAAATATGATCTTAAATATAAATTATAATGAAAATTAATCCATAAACGTGTGGAATAAAATGTAGTTGTTATATTAAATATTTATACTAAGAGGAGTTAAATTTGATGCTCATAGAGAAAACGAGTTAAATTATTACCTTCTCATCAGATAACTTAGCCCAAAATCGAGCACGAGATCTTTCATAAGGATGGAGAGGCATCAATGGATATTGCTTCCATGTTTCATCAATGTATTCAAGAATAATCAATGACTCTGCTATGGATTTCTTGCCATGAATAAGAACCGGTACTTTCTTATGAACCGGGTTCAATTCCAAAAGGAGATTGCTTTTGTTGAAGATATCTTCTTCTATATACTCATAATCAACACCTTTCAGTTTTAGAGCCCATTCAACTCTTCGACCAACTGGACTCAATAAAAAGTTAAGCAGCTTCACCTCTTGGTTTCCCATCATTTTTGTTTCATTTCATATGTTTTTCAAATCTTTTTTCTATTGTGTACATAATTTTCTTGTGCATGTCATTTTCTATATTTTAGAGACGCCAATTTTGACTTAATGTCATCGAACCACGTACGTTTTTCACTTTTATCCTTTTTCTTTGTTGGCGGAAAGTTACTTGACAATGCTGTATAAATAAAATAAAATGATGCATCAAAATCAAATGGATGGAACAATACGTTGATTTATGCAATAAGCAACATTATAAGGACACGTAGAAGGTTGAATGAAGATTTGTAAAACACGTGTAATGATTTATGCAATAACCTTTGGTGTATTTGGATGCAATAATTGGAATTTTTGAATAAATTTAAATTTTAAATTAATGAAATGATTCAATTAAAATTTATTTACTTTAAATTTATTTTTATTTTGGATAAAATATTAAAATGATTTATTGCTAAAAAAAATTTGATCATTCTTATGAAAATTTTAAAATTTTTTGAGTAAAATTTAAAATTTTAAAAATTGGGATCAATTTGAAAATTTTGAAATTTTAAAAGGACTGATTTGAAAATTTTGAAAAATATTAGAGTATTTTGTAATTTTTTAATGTTGGGGATCAATTTGAAATTTTTTAAAATTATGGAGACCAATTTTAAAAATTTAAAAGATTAATAATAACCAATTTTTCATTTAGAATATATAGAGAGATAGAGAAATTTCAAATTTCTTATTTTATGTGTCAATTGAAATTTTTTAGATTTGCTTATTTATTTTTGTAATAAAGGTAATTATTAAATAACAAAGGAAAAAAGAAAAAGAATGGGATATAAAACCAAACAGATCAAACAGTTAGCAAAAACGATAATCGAACATATTTAATCTATCCTTCAAAAAATTTTAAAAGTACAGATTGAAAGTGAATTCAATCATGTGTTATAATAAATAAAATATGCATCGTTGTTAGCTGAAAATTTCAATAATAGAGTATAAAGGGTCAAAAGTGGAAGACTAAGTTATTATTGAAAGGAATGTTTTGTAAAAACTTTGACTAATTATTTCTAAGGGGGTGGTCGAAGAAGTTGTTATGTTGAAGAGTTTGAAGTATGTTTAAAGTTTGAAATCGAATATATATGTTAAAGTTTTGGCTCTCTTTGCAGATAGAAGAATTCGAAAATTCAAATCTTTGATCTTATCTAGAAAATACATGGAGGTCTACTAGTTCGAAGGATTTGCATGTCACGAATGTGGCATTTAGATGTAGAAAGACCGTTAAGGTCGAATTAGTATATATAGGGGTCTTAGAAATAGGATTGGTGTGTTCATTCGTTTGTACAAAATCTCACATAAACTCAAAGTATTTGCGTATTGAGAAAAGAGTCGTTTGAGAAATGTATGTGTAAACACCATCTTTTATTTAATACAAGTTATTTTTCCAGAATTTACTTTTAGCAATTTACTTTCAATTGCCTTTATTGCACTTTCTTTACAAGTTTTTCATAAGTCTACTTTGAAGACTCATTTAGATCGAAATCAATATTGTCAAAGAAATATGAATATTGTCGAAGTATTCTTTATTTTCAAGAACAAAAAGTTGAATTAGAACACATGTCTTAGGATCAATCTAGTCGATCATGCGAGTAACCAAAGACTTTTGTTATTTTTAGAAGACTAGCGCTTGTTCACCAATTTTTACGGTAAACAAATTGGCACACCCTATGGGACCTGTGTTCAATTAACAAATATTTTTGTTCTTGTGAAATTTTTTGAAAATTTTCTTGTATTTTACTTTGTTGCATGAGACTTAGAAGTGGTAAATTAGCCACAAACAACAAAGAAATACATAAGAGAAAATACGTTAGGAAAATGGAAAACCAAAATCAGTCAGGTAATCAAAATCCTCCTAACAATGATGAAGTACCACTCCCAGTCACTTCAGCAGGGGGAACTACAATTTTTGCGCCTTTTTCAGAGGTTATACTGTCTTCAACAAGTTCGACACCAATGCAGTTGAACACTCATGCTGGCCCTATTTTGACCTATATAGGACCACAGGGTCCACAAGGGACCCCCCTAGGGGGAAATACTTTCCATAGGCCTCAAGGGCCTCCTGGTTTTCCTATGCTTCTAAATGGTCGCGAACGGCCTTATGACATGCCATCATCGTTTATGGTAGGTTTGTATAATTCCACTTCAACTTATTCAGATCCCATAATGAACGTCACTTTGCCATTACAAGATTCTGGGTCTGTTGTAAATAATGTGGGTCGAATCATCTAACCCCATGGAGAAGGAGTTTCCTCCCAAATGCCAAATTTGAAAAATCACTCTACAACAGTGATTAGGCAGCAAATGGACGAAAGTAACCATGAAATGGTCCAAATGCTTGCATAAACAATGGGTACAATTTGTAACTCTTTAATTTAAAACACCACTCAAGAGAACCAACAAATGGCAGCAAAAATGACGCACATTGCTGAATTCTTTGGTGTGTCTCAACCCCCACCACATCTTCAGAGGAAATGGGTTAGGTAAAATCAAGGGGTAATCTTTGAAGAAGATCCAACGATCGACCAATTTTATAGAATCAAAGAAATACACCCCAGACAAATGTGGTAAATCAGGGAGGGGTAGTTGAAATACCTAGAACTGTGACTGTCGAAATACCTAGAATCGAACGTCTTAGACAGGAACCACAAATTCTAAGGGAACTAGAACCTAGGGTTTTGATGGTGAATAGAAATCAAAATACTGATGAAGTCATACATCAAGTTCGACAGTATAATATGGCTGCAGAAAATAATTTGGAAGCCATGGTTGAAAGGATTATGGATCAAAATGGTATGAATGTTGGCCTTCACAGACCAAGTTACACTTCGCCATTAAATGAGTATATTTTGAAAACAAATATACCTCCAAGGTGGAAAGTCCCCAAATTTACTAAATTCTCTGGGGACACTACTGAATCCACTATCGAACATGTGGCTAGATACCTGATAGAGGTAGGAGAAATAGCCAGTGATGACAATCTTAGGATTAAATACCTCCCAAGTTCACTAACAAAGAATTCCTTCACATGGTTTATAACATTACTAGCAAATTTGATCCATAGTTGGGCTCAATCGGAAAGGTTGTTCCACGAACAACTTTACATAGGACAGACAAAGATTAGTTTGAAGGAATTGGCAAGTGTTAAGTGTAAATTCATTGAGCCCATAGATGATTATATGAACAGATTTTGTTTTCTCAAATCTAGATGTTTCACTCAGGTGCCTGAGCATGAGTTGGTCGAAATGGCCACAGTGGGTCTAGATTATTCCATTAGGAAGAAATTAGACACCCAATACTTGAGAGACATGGCCCAATTGGTTGATAGGGTTTGACAGATAGAATGTTTGAAAATTAAAAAAGCTAGAGCAAGTAAGAATAATAGAAAAGAAAGAATAATGTATGTTGAGTTCGACGAAGGTGATCAGGGGTCATATGAAGAGCCTTTAGGATTTGAAGAAGGCGAAATAGATCTTGCTGAACTTAAGCGAGGACCTCCTTATTCTTGTAAAGGTTTAGCACCTTCAAATGGTAAAAATCTAGTCAAACTGATAAGGGTGATAGATTCACTAAAAGAACTTATACTTTTGATGTCTAAATGTGATGAAATTTTTTATTTATTAGTCAAAGATTGCAAAATGATAGTGCCACCTGGTGCTAAAATACCCCCTTTGGAAGAAAGGAAAAAAAAGGGTTTTTGTAAATATCATAATTTTTTGGGACATAAAACATCTCAATATTTTCTTTTCAGGGATCTCGTTTAAAATGAAATTAAAGATGAAAGGCTAAAATTCGAGGAGAAGTCGAAGCCCCGGAGGAAGGTTGATGCTGAACCCCTTCATATAGTTGAGGCCCATTATGCTGAACCAACTTCGATCAACATGGTGGCATTTACTAAAGATGTACCTAAGAGGCGGCCATGGCCAAAGTTGAAGATGTCACAAAGGGAATTAGTGAATATTCCACCCAGATGTTAGCAACAACAGAAACTGATGATGGTTTCATGCAGGTTGATAACATATCGAAGGCTACTGAATGCCTTGTGGTCGAAATTACTGGTGGTTTCATGAAGGTTGGCCATATAAAAAGCCTAGTGAAGGCCTTAGAGCAGAAAATACTGATGGTTTCATGAAGATTGATAACATGACTGAGGCTACTGAGTGCCTTGTGGTTAAATTACGTGATATGGGCATCATTGAGGATGCATGTGTCAAAGTGAACATGGTTGAAGCTTCACAAGAAATTGAGATGGAAGCGGATGAAGAGGCTGGAAGACATAAGGAATATAACCTGGTGGCATATCCTAAGAAAGCTAAAAGTTTTTTTAGAATTTCTCCATAGGTTCCAGAGAAAGAAGTATAAGGTTATGTTGTGCCCCAGATGTAGTTCTATCTTTGACAAAAAAGTTTCTCAAAACATTGAAGGTTATCGAAGGATTAAGGAAAGAAGGAATCAGAAAAATGTCAATGACAAGTTCACCTTCGATAAGAGGGGAATTCCAAGAAACTAGAACCAGGGAGGACAAAGGTTCCGTGCGAATAACCAGTCTTCTTTAAAACCAACTACTGAAGTCCCTAAGGGAAAATAGGCGAAGCCTACTCACAGGTGGGATTAGGACCAGGATAAATAGAAGAATTTTGAAGTTGGAAGGGGATCTACAATGGAATATCGAAAGGAATTTCAGGTGACTAGGCAACAAACATATGGGTCAAGTAACTACAATGGAAAGAACCCTATGTCCCGCTTCCAATGGCGTAAGGAACAGAGGAAATGAAAAGCTAAAAGAGAGGCCAAAGAGAAAATGGTTGTAGAATTAAGTAGTAGTATACCTACAGGAAGGACAAAATTTCTAAGAGAAGGTCAAAGGTGCAGAGAATAAAGATGAATTGCTAACAGAGAACTTCAACACAGACTCATAATGAAGCCTCAATGTCATATGTAATGTAGTGTCTGTTCTACCTAGG